CTTTTTAGCACTCGGAGCGGAGAATAACGAGGAGGAGGAGTAAAATTAACTTGGAAGGTATATTGGAATCACACCAGAGTGGCTCGGATAAATTAATTTACTTATCACGAAGAACGTGCATGTTTAGAAAAGAATACTTTTCAATTCACAGTTTAAAGTTTACTATACTTCATTCACCTTATCGTGTTAATAAAAAAAACGATGACAAAGAGAGCTTACAATAGGTATATTTATTTTTTATAAGCTGTTATGCATAGCCCATTTTGTATGTTCTATTTTTCAAAGTACCTTCTTACTTAAACAAAATTATTTTAATTACGATATCATATATGACAGTTATGAGCAATAAATTTACGTAATGCTAAGGACACCCTTGCCTGTCAGGTTTTAAAATCAATTTTCCACTGTCAAGCAAATTATGATATCATTCCCCAGAGCACGCTGACTCAATCTATGAGATATTTGCATTTAACCTCGTATTTTCCCATGCATTTGGAACGGGCCACTGCAGCGTGAAAATATTTGTGCAGGCCACCCCAACCCCTGGCTTTCTAACACTTTTGAAATAGTTTCGCAAGTCTCGATTGCGACACAGAATTGGAATTTAATTGAACTGTAAGTGTAATCGCTTAGGTTCGGGTTTCAATTAATTATTTAGTCCGCTAATTGCCGTTATCCGAAAAGAGAATTGAAGAAGCGCTGCCGACAATTGAGACATCAGTTGCGCAGGCGCAGTGTGGGGCCACCAAAAACGTATGATAACCTGCGATTTTCCCAATTTGGAGCTGGGAATCAAAGTCAGGGGAGCCCGGTGGCGCTGACACGACCCAAAGTCTTGGGAACGAACTGAGTCAAGTCACGCATTGCAGACGTTTCCCCAAAACTTGATTTCCAATTCAATGGCAGCAAATGCAATTCTGGAAACCGGCCCCCAAGAGCGCCAGCAAAGGAGGCCCACAAAAGGAGATACATAGGTACATTTGTAGCTACAAGTTGGCTTTGACGTTGGCCTGTCATTCAAGCGCCAGATACTCGTAAACAGGAAAACATTTCCTCGAATGCAGCATTAACTTGAACATGTTCTCGGTTCGTTCACAACATTTCCTTTGTCTGTCTGTTTTTTTTTTTTTTGACGCCGGAAAAGACATAGCAAATCCCTATTATTTGTCGTGGGCAGTTCTCGACTTGACAATGGCGCCGTCTGACATTGAAATTTTCTGGCATTTAACTGCCTTACTTATTGGTTAAGCTGGCAGGACACAACTCTCAGACTCGGTCGCCAAAAATCAAAAGAGAACAAACAAAAGTTTGGCCCAGTTTCGTCGGTCCGCCAAAATAGTGGTGCGTCATAAATAAAAACAAACAGCACAGCTACTGAAAATGCTAGGGGGTCCATGACAGTCGCCGAAATAGCCCGAAAGTATCTGCTCTCCGAACGGATATATATACATTTGTAGGTATATATTTTGAGACAGCCCGAAGGAGGCGTCGACGTCTCTGAGTCATCTGAATCTTGCAAAAGCTTTGACACACATAAAGAAAAAGTGTTTGGGCATGTATAAGAAGCCAAGACAAACTAAGTACAGTGCACTCTCAATACAGTGTAGTCTATATATGAATAAAGATTTCAGCGAAGAAATGTTAATGTTTATTTATTCCAGTTTTTGGACAAAGAACCCCATAAATAAACCAACTTCTTTAACAAAAACAATAAATGATCCAAACCAAACAATTGAAATTTAAATGTTCACTTCCTTTATTTCCCTGCCTCTCGTTCTTTATTCACATTATTATTTATTTATGTTCTGCGGATTATTTTTATCAATGGGAATTCGTTTATTTGCCCACATGCCATGTCGTATATATAAAATAACAACACATTGAAAGTATCCTCGACAGATGTGCGGATGGATGAGCTCAAAATGTCGACAATGTGTACAGCACGGAGCATATATATGCTCCATTTGATTTTCTGGAAAATCAGCACAGAATTTGAGTTTAGCTAACATAATTCCGATACGAGGGCAAACAAACCGACGGACCAGCAAAGAGAGATCAGCGGAAGATCATGATGAGGTTATCGCTGATGACGCCAAAATGATGTCATATACGGCGGACACACTCGAATGCCTAATATCTAAAGCCTGATTCGGGTTTTGTGTTTCAAATTAAGCCCATACCAATAAATGTAGGTACCGCCTTTATATGTGTATATGTTTTATGTGCCTTTATTCCGCCCCCCTCTGGCCCATCGATCTGTTTTTAAGTATTAGTGTAGCTCCATTGTTTGCCATTAGAATGTCTTGTCTGCCGGTTTTAAGCTCCGAAGTTGTTTGTCGGGTTTTTGTCTTCACAGATCGCAACACAAAACCTCATCGACTGCGTTGCTTTCTGCAAATTCAAGTTCAAGCTACAGACGGCGCGGGTGTTTTTATTTCATTTCTCGTATCCATCGAAAACAGCAAAAACTCGCACCGAAAGTAAGGCAGAATAACAATAGCAATGGGAAGGTGGAGTAGATGTCTTGAAGTTTCGAGGCTTTCTTAGAAGCAGGGTGGTTGTCTAATGCTTTCTAAGGGTGGTTCCTAACACTTTCCACCTTTCGGGGTGGTTTCCTGCCTCCTTTAACAGCGCTTGGCCCTTCTTTGCGTAGATTTCACTTTTGGCTTGATTGACGGCAACGCCTGGCGTGTTTTAATGCCTATTTCCTTCTTCTTTTATTGCAAAGGGGTGGTTGTTGATATTTACGTTTTACGTACCGGCATTTGTGCCACCCCATCGGCATTTTCTCGAAATCCTACTCCCATAACTTCGTTATTTTTTGGCTGATTTACGGTGACTTAGGGTGATGATAAATTGCTTAATTTATTGATAGATCATACCATTTGTAAAAGGATCTGGGTCAGTGATAAAGGAAAGGGCGTCCAGATTTCCATACATTAATAAAAATACAGAAACATTTTTGCAATCTCATATTTCACGTGAAGGATACTTTTTTAAGCTACTTAAAACGCCTTTTGAAATGGAATGCTTTATTAAAAACAATTGTGAGTTTTTTATAAATCAAAGAATAATAGATTATTTTTCATGTTATCAAAACACTTTCAAAATACTAGGGTTATCTGTTCTTAATAACCTTTAATTTGTTCGCACAAATTAATGAAATATTATAGTTACTTTTGCTAGAAATAAAAAGAAACAATAACAATTTCATTTAGCAAAATACGTATATAGCGTTTTAATTAAATAATCCATTTTATAGTTGCTTTTTCTAAAGACCGTTTTGGGAAATACCTTTCCATTTACTTTGTCGCCGAACTCATAAACCCATTTAGCAGCCATTAGGTCATTCCCATAAAAAGAAAAGTCGAAAGGGGCCCGTCTGCCACTGGCAAACTTCATAAATGGGCTGAAGAAAAAGTGCAATTGTGGTGCGCTGAAAAGGAAACGCAACAGTTGCAACATGGTAAGTGGAAACGATGCCGACGTCATGGGTGGAAAATAAAAATGTCAATAAAAATTACAGCAAATTGCCGGCTGCCACGCCCCCCACTCCACCGTTTGGCATTAGGGGGCAGCAAATGGTCACACGCAGAGCTCATGTTTGTGGGCCGTTTTGTGTAGTTACCAAGGTTACTATCCTCCTATCCTCCTATCCCTGGTGTCCTGGCGTCAATTGAGCGCTTGGCTGATTAAATTACCCGAGTGCACAGTGTGGGTAACTAACAAAAGGACAATGGAGAGAGGGGGATTGCATAGTGCATTAAGCAATTGTCCTTTTTATATATATGTGCCATGGACACGTCGCCATTCAGTCTCAGCGTCAGTGAGTCGCGGCGAAAATTGCACATTTTTCAGTACGTCAACCCAAAAAGTTTGCCCCTACATTTCCATTGATTTTTCTCTTCTCCTAGCTGATGATTTCATTTTCAGACCCAAACAGACTGGAGTCACGAGAATCCTTTCAGGCAAATGCAACACGTGACGAATGGCAAACGAAGTCCTAGTTGGAACCGAAGGCTTCCTTCCTCCAGTCGCCTTCAGCAAGTCACAACATCGTTTTCGCTTTTAATTTCGCCTTTTGGCTGCCACCGATGACCGCAGAAGCCACCAAACCAGATGACATCACATCTTGTGTGTGGGTTTGATTGTGTGTCAGTGTGTTTTGTGTGCGAAAAGATTGATGAGTAAGCTTTAAAGAGGACATAAAGGAGGGTATTCAAAGGACATTCCAAATTATATAATTTTATTAAAATTAAATCTTCTATATGTTATTAAAATGTTTAAAAGATTTTGTATAGACCAAGAATATAAAATTCTATTAAATACATATCAAGGAAATTATTTATGTGAATAGCCGCTTTAGTTTAATAACATTCACATATATTTTTAAGAAGAATACTTTGAATTATATTTTATTTAATTTAATTCCAACTTTACTTCTTGCGCAAATATCAAAGCAAAATGTAAATTCCAAATCACTTTTAATTATCCACAGTTCCATTACAAAATGCAAATAAAATAAAATATTTTTATTTGAGCCATAAGCAGTTCCGAATATAGCTTAATGATTTTCCCGTTCTTTTGGCAATTGGTTAGAATAATTATTCAGTTAATCACCAACTCGTAGCTTCTTATTTATTATGGGTTCATTATTTGCTATTTATACGTTCTCCATTAACCAAAAGGCGCACACCAACAATCACACATATACATTTACAAAGGGTAAAAACACGAGCACTTGTTCGTTTGTGGCCAACTGTCGCCAATGAATTCGAAAACGTATTTGATTGTATTTTTATTTCTCTCTTTTTTTCAAATTAAACGAAAATATTTTAAATTCAACACTGGCTGGCACAAGAATAACAGCGACACCGCCGAACTAAACGCGCAGCAATTTCTGAAAGCAAAGTGTGACTACGAAAATAAGTTTTCAAAAACAGAAGTCAAAGAAACCACTATTATGTATAAGTAGCTAAAGAGCTAAAGGGAAAACACACCGAAAAAGCGCGCGTCGCGCGGCTGCTTCAAATAAAAACGACTTTGTTTTTATTTTATTTTTCTTTTGGCGGCAGCTGCCAGAGAAGTCAAAGAAGCTCCGGCGTGGGTGACTTCGAATCACGATTTCGATTTCGATATTCTTTTTCCCGGTCCGCGAATGCGTCCAAACGCCTCGCCGTTCGAAAGAAAACTAAACGGCCGGAGACCAAAGCCAAAACCCAGAGAATATTCAGCCAGCTGTTTCGGTCTGCCGACTTTTCTGTTCGCGGGGACGCGACTGTGACTTAAGAGCCGATTGGAAAATAGCATTGCATACTTTTCGCGGCCAGCGCAAATGGTTTGCCCGCTATTCACGCAACGATTTTTGTTTCCCAGCCACTTTGGCACTCGCCAAGATTTTCCCGGCTAACGAAATGCTTACTGTTTTTTCGGCTGTCTGGAATTTTCAACCCTTAGGCAAACTGCACACTTTTCCACGGAAACACCCCCACAAACGGGGGAATCCTCGGGGACACCGCACGGATAGACACACGTGCAGCGAGCTGAGGGTGTTTTGTCTGGCTGATATGCATATGGACATGCTAGAGACCATTTCCGTAATGAACTAGAAAATATTGACCTAATATGCATAACTAAAAGGTCTTTAATAAGTTGTCAACTTGGGGGAGAAACGCTAAATAAATACGTATATTATTTTCATGTTTGTTTTGGTAGATTTTAATTGACTTTTACTGTCTGTAAATAATTTTTATTTGATAATCAAGATTTTTAATGGTATACCTAGTATGTATGTTTAACAAGCCATTATCTTTAATTACGTTTTTTCCCATCAAAAGTATAAGTCAGATCCTTAGACTTAATTAGAATGCATTTAAGGAGTTTAAGTATTACAGAACATTCCAGACAATATTATACATTTAAATTTATTTTGTATGTAAATATATAAATGTAGTCCTTCCATGTAATGCTGCATAATTTGATTAATAGTTTCGGTAATACCAACATTTAATGTCCTGAACTAACCTCCCCCAAATGGTAATTACTTAATTCCTAAGCCAGGTGCAACCGCCTCGAGTAAACAAACAGACTTGGCGTAACTGTCTGTCAAAACAGCTGCAATTGTTTAGGAGCTCGAGGGGTTTTCAACCATAAGAAGGAGCCATTCCTTATATATCCATAAACAGTTGCTGGCCCACAGCTGCTTTGGCCAAACCCCAGAGTGCCAATTAAATTTAATTTAAGGCGACATTTGCCGCCAGCCACTCACAGTTGCATTTGTCTCTTGCCACAAGAATAATGACGACGGGGCCATCGAAACGAGCCCAAATCGGCGCAGATATAGCGATCGGCTCGGATGTGGCACATCGATGGGGCTATTTTCGATGCCACCGATTAGCCTATTGGCCGAGTGAAATCTTTTAACTTTAACCCTTTGCAGGGCGCGTGTCTGGGAATTGGAATCGGAATGGGAATCGGAATGGGATTCGAATTGGAATTGCTCTGCTCTGCTCGTCGTGCTGTCTATTTTTGGTTGGTGGCCGCTCGCGAAAAGCTAAAGACATCGGGTCGATCGGCCGATGCGATCTACACTCCGCCGTAGCACAGATTCCGCCGCTCTTTTCTTTCAGTAGAAATCCGTTGGCCGCGCAAATCGCACGATCGCTTGCGGGCGGGCTAAAATCGAAGAGATACCAAAACAGATCAAAACAACAGAAGCCCCCAAGAGAAAAAAAGGTGGAAAAGACATACTCCAACAGATCGGTTCGGCGGACTGAGAAATACGCAAAATTGATGGTTAAAATAAATAAATAAATGAGTTTTCGGTGCGCGTTGAAAGTGCAGTGCGCGTTTCACAAGGCGGATCGCGATTCCTGTATTCATAATAACAATGCCCAAAAGCATAAGACACAAATCTGCTAAATTATTTCGAAAATAACCTGCAGCAAGCAAAAGTATCAGCAGCAGCAGTAGCAGCAGCATTAGCGGAAAACTCATTAATTTTCCAAATACCTCGAAAAAAAACAAATGTACGTATCTCACGGATGCGAAATTCGGTGTGCGACTGTAATTTTAAACGCATCTCTTGCGCTTGTTTTGACATTGAAATGAAACAACAATAACAATCGGATAATTAAAGCGGAGAAAACACACGCCAACGGAAATACACCTGCCGTCGCAATCAGAAAATCCATCTATCTGCGGAGCAGAAAAAAAGCGCGTGGAAATTGGAAAACTTGGAGAACTCAGGGAAGACGAGAAGATGACTACGCGCGGCATTCGGCGTAAGAAGTCCACGCTGACGGAGTTGAAGTTGGCCGTGATCGGGGCACCCAGTGTTGGCAAGAGCGGTAAGATTCGGAACAGCACGCCAAGTGCTTCCACAACAATCCGAGCAATAGCAGACGTATCCGATAGATACTTGCGGCATCATGGATGCCGAGCAGCAACAGCAAATTAGTTGAGCAATCGCCGATTCGTGTATATTTAGACTTTTGTTTGTTTTGTTTATAAAGTGGCAGCATACATACACAGATGCAGATACCCCGTACACATACGCGCACACACACACACACCTACTCACACAACCGTGCCGCTGGGAGTATCTGTGTGTGGCACTTTGGCATTGCCTGCCGCTTTAATCGCTTTCCACCGTTTGATTTGACAAGCGGCTCTGGCCAAAAGACCAGGCCATGCTCTAATTTACGACGACCCATGAGCACATCGCTCACTACACTAAGAAAATATTTTAGTAGGTGTTAGTTTGGGAATAAGAATAGTGATTTACCTAGGATACTTTTATATTTCTTAACATTTTAACATGAGCAATAGCCTTTGCTTAAATGTTATTTTAAATTCATTTTTTATATTATCTATCTTTTTCCGATCGTAAATTTTTTAAGTGTACGGGTTCAAAGCGTATATAGATAGACATTCGGGAGATCACAGATCATTGGCAGCAGAGACGTTGCATATTTCTTCGATGCGGACGACTTAGCATAAATTGATGTTCCCTGTCGAGCATCACGTATGCTGGAAAGCCCAGAAATATATTTAATTTGTAACATTTTGTTAGGTCCATGAGATGATACTAATGATGATGACGGCTTTAGCTGGAAAATTTATTCCTGCGGCTGTCAACTTTAAGTTAGCACTGCTCTAAATATGTCCCCGATGTCAAATAATTTAACACTCTAAACTCAGAGTAAAAGTAAAATGGCTTTAAAATAAGATACCTTTAACTTAGTTTCTTGATGAAACGTAAACACCTCAAATGTTGCACAAAAAAATATAAATGGTATTCACAATTTAGCAAAGCCACAATTAGTTTTTCTTACTTAACTTTACAGATAGTCTCACTAAAACTTTAATTTTTTACTTGCTCATTTTCGGTTTTGCCACTAAAAACGGATGTTTTATGTCTGGGAAACCCCAAAATAATTTTAATTAGTAACATTTTGGTAGGCAGCAGCCATGCGATGTTAATGATGATGGCTTTAGCCGGTGAATCTATCCCGGCTGTCATCTTCGGGTTACACCTGCGTGCAATATGTCCCCAGTCCCAAATAAGTGCAAATAGAAAAGAAAACCGGCGTGGGACAGCCAAAGATCGTGGACAGTGGAGCCGGATGAAATATGACCAGAAAATATGCTCTACTAATAAATTAAATGTGAAAGAAAAAGCAGGAAAAAATACATGGCATGCAGTCTACAGTTGGGTGGGGCTTTTGTGACAAACCAATGAACTTTGTCTGGTATTGTTATGGATGAGGATACAGAAAAGGATTCCGAATTTTTAACAGGGGAAAAATCTAGATTGCATTGCATTAAATTCAAATAAAAGAATGAATTTAAGCTAATAAAAATACAATTTACTTTTGTTATTATTAAACTAGTTTTTATTTAAACTGAAAACGTAGAGGCAAATTAAAATTTAGATCTAACTTCTAGACCACAAATTATTCATAATTTCCTAGGCCCATTAAAACAAGAAATCCGAAAGCAAATGGAATTCCTCCAATAGCAACTAGCACATGATGACAAACGAAAATATGTTTAATAAATTTATTGCCACATATTTTAATGTCACTCGGCCACAATCTCCGAGCAAAGACCAGAGAAAATATTTAATTCAACTGTGTGTCTATGTCTGTGCATGCGGTGGGGCAATTAAATCGCCCACAACCACCTCCTCACCCACCGCCCACCGGCCACCGCCAGCCGGAATTCGCCGTGCAGCCACATATACGCACTTGGCCACATATTTGGCCATATAGACATATAGACATTCAGACGTAGACGCGATCAGTGCCCAGCAGGCGGAGAAGACGCCATCCCCATTGCCATTTCGGCGTCGTGCGTCGAAGAATTTAAACGTTGACCTCGCGGTAAATAAAAAAGAAAACTCGGAAAACATAAATTTTTGTTGTGGGAAAAGCACTGGCTAAATGTATGCGGTGTTGGGAAAATAAATGATGAAAATGTCATTAAAAAGTCGCGAGGCAACCAAGGCAACCACTGGCCACACAAAAAACTCACACGCGAACGTAAGGAACCTTAAATACAGTCTAACTTGACTAATTCCAGCTTTTTAATAAAATAGTTAGGTTTATTCACAAATTTTATTTTTGCATAATTATTAATGGGAACTTCTAGGAACATTTATAGTCAAATAATTATTTTGGCACATGTTAATCAATTTAAAAGCAATAATTTTAAAAGGTCATAAAATAATTTGAATGAACAAATGTTTTAGAAATATATAGGAACGTTCTTTAAACAGCTTTTTTTCTCATTTGGAATTACATATATAGTTTACAAGAACGGTAAGAAAAGTCAAAGAGTTTGATAACTGGAGGATCCACTGTATATTCTAAACATTGTCATCCTTTTTTGAAGTGGCACCTGAGGTCCTAGTTCCCAGCGCTGTTTTTCCTGCTTTTGCTTAGCCGCGAGTTCAAAGGACTTGCATGGGAAATGACCAAAGACCAGGCCCAGGTGAACTTCACCCCCTTGGTAGGACACGAGGCCTACGAAGGACGAGGTTTGTTGGCTCGGGACACGCAACTTTAGGGCTCAGCGCTTTGTTGCCGGGCAGCCGAATCGGGTTTATTAACCCCACAAGGCGCACTTTCCTTGCCACCTGCCCCATTTGCGGCTTATACAACTCCTGCATTTGTCCCTGCAATCCATTTTGGCAGTACGCCCCATGCTTCACGCTCGCTTAAGTGCTGACCCAAATCCTGGATGAGGGTGGCTCGGTTTCTGAGGGCGTTACCCTGCTTTACACCTGATCCCGCTGATAGCGAACCCGACTGTAAATTAAACTCATGTTACGTAAATGGTTTCGGTTATTTAATTTGATTGCAGCCCTAATTGTGCGTTTCTTGACAAAGCGTTACATCGGCGAGTACGATCATCAGACTGAGAATCGCTATAAACACGAGGCGATGGTGGATGGCGAGCCGGTGCTCTTCGAAATACTCGACACATGTCCCAAGGTGGGTGAAAAAAAAAATCAATAAAATCGAATGATTTATGGAGTGGAAACTAATCAAAATTTGTTATTTACCCAGGCGGAAGATGAATATCCCAATGCAGCTGAACTCGTTCAATGGGCCGATGGCCTACTTCTGGTCTACTCCATAACAGATCGCAAGAGCTTCAACTATATTCGCCGTGCCAAATCCGATCTTCAGTCCGATACTCCCGTCCAGCTTTGTGCGAACAAAGTGGACATGGTGCACTTGCGCCAGGTGAGCCGAGATGAGGGCGAGATCCTGGCCAAGGACTTCGAGTGCAAGTTCAGCGAGGTCTCCGCCGCCGACCACGTGGACCAGGTGGCCGAGGTCTTCAACGAGCTCTGCAAGGAGGTGCTGGCCTCCAAGCGCAAGTCCAAGCAGAGTCTGCTCGAACGGATGCTCGGCGGAGCACGTCCCTACAGCCGAGGGAAGAGCGACAGCAATTTGCCAAAAGACTGATAGCGGTGATGGTTCTTAATGTAAATAAATGTAAATTTTTCTAAAATTTAATGGGACTTTTAAATATATATTTTTTTTAACAAGAAAGAAAACTTGCAGTCTACAAAAACTAATGATGCAGTTTCTTAGGGGACTATCCCAAAATCACTTTGAGGAAGACCAATCCAAAATCGGACATCATTTAGAAAAGTTTTTTTTGACAATTGCATAAAAAACTTGATACTCAACCTCTGCCTCAAATTATAGTACCCTCTGCAAGAGTATTAAAAGGAAATTAGTTGTGCACCTTTCAGCTTTTGACAAGCTGATAAAAAGCTTTTGTTTGGGGAATGGGGTTGCCGCTAGTGGGGACAACCGCCCCAAAAAAGCTTGTGCTTGGCGCCACTGGAAAATAAAGCTTTTAGCTTAGACCGTTAAAATTAAAATAACCCCCCAAGAAAAATTTGTGATTGTAGATTATTGGTAAATAAAAACATAAAAAAATAATAATATAAAGATATCTGAAACAAATTTGTTTAAGTACTTTGAATCTACAATTCTACAATTTATCAGATTGCTTTTGAAATTATTTTCTTTAAGACAACACCTAAAATCTTGTAATTAGGAAAGGAAATTCACTGTTTCGCAAGAAAATACTCAAGATATAATTGAATAACTAAAAACGAACTATTAAATAAGAATGCCGTAGATCACTTAACAGGTGATTCCCTGTTGCAGCACCGACCTTTGGCATCTCGGCCAGCTCTTGGCAAACTTCCGCTTTTGGGAGCGCGTGTGCACGACTTTTAATTAGCCAGAGTCAACAAGTGGCCCAGTGAAGCGTGTAAATCTACTTAAGACTTTCGGTTCCCGACTTCACGGCTGCTCCAACTGAATGGGATGAAGTGGACAGACTGATCACTCCGGACATTGTTGACATTTCGTCAGCTCTCTTTCTGCGTAGCCGATGTGTTACCGGCTTTGTTTGACCAGCTAAAACCATAATATTGACACCCGCGAATGGGCACAATGATGCGCAGAATCAATCCGAAATCGACTCGATTCCGATTTCGAGCTTCGAGCCAATCGCGTGCCGCTGGCTAGTGTGCAATCATTATCGCTCATACGCCCCGCTGTCCGGGCCAAAACGAGCACCTGGCTTAAACCTCGACAGCCAGACAGATCGGCTGCTTGGCAACCGGCAAAGGGAAATTATATGCACGATTTTCTTGCAATTGTTTAACAACATTGACGGGTCTTGGCATGAAATCTCACAGGTTTTCTCCACCTACCTTTAGTACTTATTAACTTCGATAGGTTTTTTATTTGCAGCCTTGCTTAATTAGTATCGGATTTAAAATTCTAATTTTAATTTATGATCGAAAGTGGTCTTGGTATCTCGGCCCTTAGCTACTGTTGCAGCACTTATCTGGGCCAGGTGTCCATTTGAACCATTTAGCAGTCGCGCAGCTGGCCATGTGGACGTAATTGTCTAGCCAATTGGTGCTGTAATAGTTTTAATTATGGACCCCGCGACATTACTTGTTCTGGAGGCAGATTTTGCATGCTCCGGAGTAAACAGGTGGAATTTGAATTAGTTTAACTAAAACGAATTCCTTAGATGGAATGTGTTTTAAGTGACAGCAGAACGCGGTCTAAATTACATTTTATGTTAATAATAATAAACATGTTAATACATTTTCTAATGGATTTCTTGTTATTATAATAAAATATTTATGTTGTTTATATTCATATTGAAAATCTGCGTCAAGACAAGAAAGATCTTTTTTAATGATAAAGGTTTTTATTCAGAGGAACAGCTTATCGAATGTAAGTATTTAAAAATACTTTTAGTTTGGGATATCCCTCCAGATCTTATTTTATGGAAATACAGTCAGAACTGATCAATAATTCATAAAAATCCGAGTAGCAAACAATTCCCACCAGGGAAATCGAGTATTACATAAAGTGTATCTAAAAATACCACGGTTATTAATGGATGCATCTCTCACGCCCCTAAATATTCATGAGACCAGCTGTTCGAGCACAGGCATGCAAATGAGGGGTTCGGCGACCATCGACCATCCCCCTAGAACGGCGGGGTGGAAACCTGTTCGTACTCCAATTAGCCCGAGAGCTATTGCGATTATAAATGCTCGATCATTTAAATTAGAGCCGGGCAACAGGTGCGCCTCGGGCCAAAGCCCCGTGTAGTTGGCAGTGGGCTGGCGAACCGTTAGCCTGCAGATATTCACACCTCCAGCTGGTACTGGGATCCAGATAAGTATGAGACTAGGTTTAGTATCTCTGAAAAGTTCAAGAATCGCGTTTCGAGTGCAGCTAATTGGCACGAAATGGCGGCCAGAATGCCAAAGCCAAATGCAGAATTTGGCCATGCCAGCTGTAAGTCATTGACTTTGATATTCGATTAGCCAAAGCCAAATTTCAAATACCAACTGGCCGGCGAATAGCAATAGCAATGGCAATAATGGCCGTAGACATGTTCTAGTTAATTCCTTTGGCTACTGTCAAAGCCAAGCTCCAGCTAACCTTGGCTTTTGTATTTTGGGTTTTTATTTTTGTTCGCCGTGTTTTATGCGGCTTTAATTAGCCAAATTTGAAATGTTGCGGCGGCTGTAAATGAAACGTGTTTCGCTCTGCGCTTTGCCACTGGCATTATTCTTGTTTTTATTTTCTTCTCGGCAGTGTAAAAAACTTAAACAATTAATGAAAAGTGTTTAATTGCAAAGTGCATTGGGCTTCCGGCAATTAGCTCGTCGTCGTCGGTTCAACAAACCCGAGCCAACTCGACGTTTCCTGCAACCCTAACCCATTTGCTCAGTGGCCTTGACTGAAGACCATAAGAACCTTATGCCACTGGGCATAAGCCGACCGGCCCGAATTGACCAGCGGCACGTAGTCCACCGCTCTTGGCAATCGAATCAAGTGCAAATGTTTGCCCACGCCAAACCCAAAGCGAAGCATTTAGCCAGCCTTTTAAACCTGACCCAAATCAGTCAGACAATTAGCCGATTACAGCGGCCAACTTACAAAAGCCAACTTAAGTTGATAAATGCCCAACCTTAGCTCCAGCTGAACTTCGCAGCCAATTCATATTTAGTAGTATCAATTAATAACCATAATGTAGATATATCAGCAATTGTCATTAACTATAGAATATCGTGTTAACTTTTGAATATCGTGTTAAATGTCGAAGCAGGGGTTTGTTGGGCAAATTTTCATTTCGAAATGTCAAACTGTAAAGTCGACTCAAGTTAACTACCAGCTTTATACAGCTAAATATAATGCTACAAATTATAAATACCAAATATTTCCGAGTAAACTGGAGTTCAAGTTCATAAACTTAAACTTATCCATCAAAAATTATCCAAATTAAATTCTGTATATTAGTTCAAGTGGAAGCTATATAACCATAATCTAATTTTATTCCTATAAGCTTGCAATTGGCCTTCAGTTTTAGACACCTGCAAGAGGTTCTAGTCATTACAACTTTAATTATACATTAGCTTTAATATCTTACATAAATGCCATGACATTAACCCATGAAATTTCCCAAGACTTGGTTATTATATTTTAGCTCAAATGAAGTGTGAAATGGCTAACTTCATTGAGGCGTGGAGTTTTTAAAGGTGGCAATTTAAAAACAATTGTTATGGCAAGCTAAATAAATAAATAAATAAAATAATTTGTCGTGTTAATGGCAGAAAGTTCACTATTTTTTCAGAACACCTGCAAGAGATTCTAGTCAGGCGATAATCAGCTAATATAAATCACATAAATTCCATACCTTCCGTCAAAGGGAAATCCCAGGCCCTAGTTCATATATTAGTTTGATTCGATTTGATGATCGGCACACCTGCGAGGGCATTCTAGCTTCGATACATCTGTCCCTTATCGTTGTGATTTAACATTAATATCATTATAATTGGACGACAACGTGGGCGTTCCCACGAGTCCAATCCATATCGCCTACATCCGATCAGCAGTCGCTAATTGTCGCTGTTGCTGTGCCGCGGCAACTCGAAACTATTAGCACATTCAATTTAATTCGCACAGCCAATTATTATATCACAATAAACTAGTACTCGTACACGTATTGCAATTGCCATATGATAAATCCGTTCAGGTGTTATTTATTTATCGGATTTTTTCCTTTCCACGATTAATATGCTGAGGTAGGTCATGTTTTCAAACAGCTGTCGCTCTTGATAATCAGAAAAATTAATTTAAATACGCCGCAATGCCTTTAAATGAATCAGATTCGCGAACACCAAAAATTTGACAGATAAAAAGTAGTTGAGAAAGAAATGTTCTACTGCGGTAATTATAGCATGCCTGTGTGTAATTAAGACTAATTACGTGAGCTCGCTAATTAAAATAAATTGGCATAGGTTGAGAATAGAATAAAATATTTCCATCACAGGCCCCTTTCCAATTGTAAATCATGACTTCAGGATCTCTGGCAAGTCAAGGTGTGCAAAAAAATCCATTTTCAATAGCTGGGGGCGTTTTTAAGTGCCACAGCCCCTCCCAGAAACTTGGTTCCTTTTCAAGTTTAAACGGTTTCAACTTTATTTATATAATAGCGAATAAGTACACATATAGATTGAGACGTATATATTTCTGATATCTGCACGTTTTGTGCACCACTCGTACTAATAAATAACCTTTTCCTTTATTGTTTTTATTTTTAGAATCTACATTGCCTGGCTTGGGGACCAACTGCTCTTTATAATATACATTTATATATATTTGCGAATATATTTAGTGTTTGTTTGGCTAATTGCCTGCATAAACTTCAACACTCGGTTGACTTTCGATCGAATTTCAACTACATCGAACAATAACAATAAAATTCCACGCTACGTTAACTTTAAATATGTAATATTCTTGATCTCAATGTTGAATTCACTTGAAAACGTTTTTAAATTTTAATTACTTTAAAGGTGTATACTATATATTGGTCCAAGGGTTTTGATTACTTTATAGATTTCGATTAAATTTGTTAAAATATTTGTGTATAGCTCGCTTTTTGGTACATATTTCTTGCTCTTTCCTTTTTGCTCATCGATAGTAAATATCTTTTTAAATTCACAATTTTTTAATTTTATACCTTTCCAATGTAAAGTTTAAAATAAATATTCCCTTTTCGTGTCGTAAAATGTTCCCTAAACAGAATCAGACTTTAGAGTTGCTAATTGCCAAAGAACACAATGAAATGAAGAAACCAAAGAGTAATTATTTTTCAATTGCATTTTTAATTTTATTAATACACAAAACTTAACTAAAATAATAATGTTTAAACTCTACATACCTACAATACAATACGTAATAGTCATAAGCATAATAATAGATAATAATAATAATAGTACACAATAGTAATATTGTCGTTTACAGTTATTGTACAATGTAAGAAAATTCTATTTTGTTTTCCATTTCACTTTGATCATTTCCGTGGTTTTTTTTCCGTTTGCTTGATGTTGATTTTTTTGTTAATTTTTGTTTCGAAATACTCTCTCCGAGTGAAGTTTTAATACCGGGAATACTATATCGCTTGTCTATATAGTCTAGGTAAATATTGTGAGAGACAAAAAGAAGATAATAATAATACAAAAACATTTTGTGTCTGAGTATACAATCGGTTTTGTGTGGTACTTTGCCTACTAAGTGCGGATGCGGATGTGTATGAACTTTGCTTTCCCAGCTCTTCACTTCTCACTAATTCGCTTTGCTTGGCTTTGTTTTCACATCACTTAAACGTCTAACGATTTTTTGGTCCAATAATAGTTGCGGTGATAAATATGCGGGTCGGGGTGTATCGGGTGATCGAAAAAATAAATATGTTTTGTAATCATGTGCGCGATTTGACAAATAGAACTTCAGATGACAATAAAATAAAAAGTTAAACAAAAAACAATAAACAAAAAATAAAAATAATGCGCGATGCCTTAATTTTGGTTTAAGGATTACGTGTACGAGGGATTGTGCGGTATGTCAATTTAAAATTAATTTGTATAAATGAGACCGTTGCACCTGTATGTGATTTTCGGGGGTAAATGTTGGTGTTTGGGGCTTTTTTTTGGGTGCTTTTGGGATAACTCCCCCTCTCAGCTTAGAACGGGCGTCGCAGCTTGGCGATGGCGTTGGTCAAATGCAAGATCTCCGTGTTCATCTGGTGCACCAGGGTCTCCAGCTTGTCCACGGAGTCGAGCACCTCGACGCGCTCGGTGTGCGGGTTGAAGCGCACCTCGAAGGGACGCGACATGGTGCTCACCCAGCGGCGGAACTTGTCCTTGGCGTCCTCGAAGCTCTCGGCCACGTAGTAGATGGGCTGGTACTCCTGGTCCTGGTACGGCTGCACCGCGGTGGAGGCGGGCTCGAAGGCGCGATGCTCGCACTTGTCGCTGATTGCGTGCAGCAGCTCGCCGTAGGAGCTCAGCAGTCCGGCGCCGTAGGCCTTGATCTGGCCGTGTTCCTTGCAGAGACCGAACTCAACAGTGAACCAGTAGACCTGAAAGAATGGAAAAAACAATGCCAAATAAGCAAACATTGAACAAAAGAAGAATCGAGATCATAGTTCAGTTTTAAGACATCAAAAAGCAAGACCATTTTAAAAATCAAGATCAATTTTCAGATCAACATTGCAAACTAAATATTAAAAAAAAACTTGGAAAAATTCAATCGATAATGTATGGATTTAAAGAATTATTGCTTTCATTACGAAATATGAAATAAATAATATTTCTGATATTAAATTGAAATCCTATTGCAGTTTTCCAAACCCAGTTTGTTATTTCGGCTGGGAAAATCATTGAATGGCACTTTTTGTGTGTGTGTGACTTTGACAGTGACTAAACAATGATCTTGGCTGCGAGAAAAACCAGCTGTGTCATAGCTGCACTTGAGGCTAAGGCCACTTGCCGCGTTGCAACTCAATTAGAAACTCACCGTGGACAGCTTCTCGATTTCTTCGTCGGAGGCACCCAGCGAGGCCAGACCAATCTCCTGCGAGAACTGGGCGAAGCTGGGATCGGCCAGCAGGGGCATGTGACCCAGAAGCTCGTGAATGGAATCGCTGTAATGACACAAAATAATGCTTGTTAGAAGTGTGGAAAATGTGCTCCGCATAAAGCAATTAGCAAGGTTAAATGAGCCCCAGGCAGCCTGCCGCAGTTCCTGCAGGCAAATTGCTTTGGCTCTGGGGAAAAAGTTGCCCCGGAAAAGCGGAAAAGGAAGCCCAGCCCGGCAGCCACCCGTTCGCAAATGCAATTAGGCTGGGACAAAGAGCTTTTCTCCCCCCCTTTGAAGTGATTTTAACCCCCCTTTCAGAAGTTATATATAATATATCAGATGATGGATACTTACGGCTCGGGAGTGTGGTAGGGCGAGTTGACGTGGCGCACGTACTGGGTGCTCTGGAAGATGCGGAAGGCCAGGGAGGCGAGGAAGTCGCGGGCGGTCAGGAGACCGGCGGCCGGACGCAGCGAGAATCCGGTGTTCTTGCGCAGGAAGTCGGACATCTCCTGCAGCTGGGGCAGACGGTTGTCCACGAAGATCTGCTCGTCCTGCAGCTTCTGGAAGGCGGCACGGTACTCGGCACAAGCGTGCTTCGGAGCCAGATCCTGGACGGTCTTGAAGACCGAGCGCCAGGTCTTGACCTCCACATCGGAGTACTCGATGTATGGGATCGGATCTCCGTACTTGTAGGCGAAGGCAATCTCGGCGATCTCCTTGCGGCGCTGGCGGTAAACCTTGTCGGCGAATCCGGGGTGGTTCATGTCGAGATCGGGCTCGTACTTGGTCATCAGGTGGTTGCAGTTGTCCAGCTCGGAGGCGTGCTTCGGGAACCAGGGGGCCTTCACGTTGATGTTGTTGTCGGCCATCAGGTTCATGCTGCTGAAGGAGCCCGACTGGCGGAGCGAGCGGATCAACTGCAGCAGATTGCCGCGGGTCATGTCCAACTTGATGAGGACATCGTGGTCAACGCCCTCGACACGCGACTGCCGCGACTCCACATGCTGGACGGCTCCGTGGAAGGTCTCGATGGCCTTGAGGATCCTGCCCAGCGAGGAGATGCCCTCCTTGAGACGCACCACCAGAGCGGCACTCTGCATGGCCGCCTCCGCTTCCGGGGACTCCGATGCGGCGTTGGCCAGCAGAATCTCGTCCTCGGTGAGACCGTAATCTGCAAAGGGAATGGGAAAGGGAAAAAATATGGTAAAGATGCAATCATCTTGGGCTTAGGGTCACGTAAACGATAAGCGAGCTACGTGGTTGGTTGGTGGTGGTTCTTCTTCGTTTTGAAAGGAGGTGGTTGCCTGGTTGCCAGGCAAACGCATTTCATACTTTTACTAAGTCGAGCGTAACAAATGAAAAAGGGAAATGCGACATTTCAACGGCTCCCACTCAATTGTCCGTGTGGCTGGCTGGCTGTGTGTATGTTGAGTGCTTTTCTTTCCGCCGCCCCGGCACTTTATCATATTAAGCACTTAAATCAATGTCGCACGCTTTTCAAAAGCCCCTCAGAAGTTAAGTACTACTTATGGCCCAGACCACCCAGCTCACCGTTCTTGGTCGGCTCCTGTTGGCGCTCGCCCTCGGGCTCCTGCGACTGCTCGGTCTCGGGCTCGGCGGCCTCAAACTCAACATCCTCCTCAACTAAAAGCGCATGAAATAAAAATAAAAATAATAAACCCATGAAAATCATAATCAAAATCAAATCAAAGGCAGTAAGCCGGGGAAAGGGAGAAAAAAGAAAAGGAATAAGGCAAACGGGAGTGGATATTAACCTGCAACATATTCGTTCTCCAGGGGAAGGTTCTCCAGATTGGCCTGCTCGTCCTGGAGCTCCACACTCTGCTCGGCAGGAATGTGCTCCTGAGCCTGCAGAATGCACTCCTCCAGAGAACCATCTTTAAAATTAAAATAAATAAAGAAAGGAAATTATAAATAAAAAATAAAAATAAACTTATAAAAATTAAATAAATCAGAATACAAAATATGAATTTAATTTAAAAGGCAAACTTTGACCCAGTTGTAAGCTACTTTAATATATGTTTTTCCACAAACTTGTTGAATGTTCCTAGCCAATTTAGACCCCCTTTAAAGCCACGTTTTTATCACCCACTTGTTGGATTTTAGCCACTTACCGTTTGCCTTGCTGCGGGCCTCCTCGAGGACGGTTTGTTTGGTCTGCTTGACCACCAGGGTCTCGAATCGGGCATCGTCCACCAGGCTGCGGCGGCGGGATGGATAACCATTCTGGAATGTGGAAAGATTGAAGTCCGTGTTAGTGACACTGGCAGGATATGCAGCGGAAATTGGCCAGTTGCCTTGACCTTCAAGCCCGAGTGGCTTTTTATCCACGCTTCGTTGGCCGAGCAGACTATTGCGCAATTTTTTTGTTGTAGCTTATGTAAAATGCCTGTGAAAGCTGTGTCTTCAGATCTTTTCTTTCGGTTTCTTGAATAGAGCTCGCTATTCATGGAACCGTATTGATTGTGATTCAAAGGCCCGAATGGTAATTTAATGCGATGTCACCGCTTCGAGGCAGGTGCGAAGATTTCTGATTTATAAGCTGATGGCTGAAAGCCATCGAAAATCCCCATGCGATTCTGGGGGAAAAAATGCAACTGGCGACCGTTGGAGGCTTTTTCTTGTATTTTTTTTTGGAGGGAAAAAGGTTTCCATCAGTTGCAGTTTTCACTGTCAGCTTTTTTTGTTTGTTGTCGGTGGGATTTTTGTTTTTGTTTTTTGGGGCATCGCCGCTTTGGCTGATGAAAGATGCCCAGCTCATTGAATCATTTTTATTGATTTCATATTTTGTTTTGGTCGGCCGCAGCATAAACATAAACAGAGACAAGTCAACAATGAGGCGC